CACGGAGTAGCACAGACTGGGCGACCTGCAAAGGTTTACCAAATGAATGAATGAATGAATAAATGAATGGATGAATCCGAGTCCTTACTAGTCCAGTAAATTGCCGCCACTCCAGGCCTCGACTTCCCCACAGCGCTGCTCTGGGCAATACGCCGAACCCAAGTATTCTCCAGAGCGCGGGAAGAAGACGCGGGCACTGCTGGGCGGGTCTCCGGCTCCTCGGGGCGGGGCTCGGCGGGCCGGACCACAGCTTTCCTCGCGCGGGGGTGAGGCGGAAGGGGCGGAGCCAGGGCTCCCCCCCCCGCCAGCGTTATTGACCACGCCCGCCGTCACCCGGCTGTAGTTGTGGAGGTCAGCTCCGCCCCTTCCTCTTTCCCTCCGAGAAGGCGGTGGAGGCTGACTCTACGGTCATGGTGAGTGTAGGACAATCGGGCACCATCCGCGTGCTGTGGGGCTCAGGGGCTGGGGTGAGGGTCGCGTGGCGAATCCTGAGAGCCCATCTACCAACCCGGCCTGTGGGAGGCCCTGCGTAATGGCCTAGCGTCGCCCCAGCCGGCCCCTCGCTTTCTCCCCACGTAGGCCTAGACCAGGAGAGGTACGCGCGCTCTGCCGGGGCCTCCGTTTTTCCCCCTGCGGAATGGGGGTAGTGGCCCAGCCTCGCAGCAGGCCTGGGCGAGGGCGCGCCTGCTGTGGCCTGGGTTGCCCTGCCCAAGGCACGGTAGTGCTGGGCCTCCAGCGCGCTCCTGGCCCAGGGCGAGGCGCGCGCCCTCCAGGGGCGGATTACGACGCAGGTGGAGGGGACGATGGCCGGTGGAAGCCTCGGTAAGTGGCCGAGGGGGAGACGGCCCCGCTGGGTGTTTGACCCAGACCCTTTCTTTCGCTCAGGCCAAGATTAAGGCTCGAGACCTTCGCGGCAAGAAGAAGGAGGAGCTGCTGAAACAGCTGGAGGACCTGAAAGTGGAGCTGTCCCAGCTACGCGTGGCTAAAGTAACAGGCGGCGCGGCTTCCAAACTCTCCAAGATGTAAGTGACGGGAGGCCAGACTACGGCCCTCTGGGCGTGGGGTGACATATGCGTCGGGAACATTTGTGGATTTTCGAAGTTGGCTTAAGGAGGTGTCCGTTTAAGTGCCCATTCCATGCATCCGTGGGTCGGAATGTCGTGCCCTTACTAGCCAGCCTCTCTTGGCTCCCCTTGCTCATGCCCAGGTGCGTGGTGACCTGCCTTTGACCTGTGGTCCTTTGCCTGGAGTAATTTCCTTCAACTTCTCTGGCTGGAGAAAGAACTGGGTGTCCCTGAAGACTCATTTTAATGTACCTTCGAACGTCTCATTGATCCCTTTCTCCTACCTCCCACCAGCATTTGGATTTTTTTCCGCATCCCCCTTCACTTGGTTGAGGGACCCCTTGCACCCCTTACTTGAGTTGTAGTGTAACTTACTGATGTATGTGGAGCAAGAGTCAAGATTTGTGAAAGGAGCATGGATTTGGAGTTAGTCAACCTGGGCATAAATTCCGCTTCTGCCACATCCTACTTGGTGGGTAGATTGGCTCACCACCCAGGTTTTTCTTTCCCCTTTTATAAAATGGGCACCCAATAATATTCCTGTGGTGGTGCATGCTGAATCCTCAAGACTGTGTTTACCAGTCATTTACTAAGCAGCACTCATATTCAACATGACTGCAAATTCACTTATCCCCAGCCTGTTCCTGACTTCAGCCTTGTCCCCTCCCCAGTGGCCCCTCCTGTGACTCCCTAATCAGCTTGCGGCATGATTCCCTCCAGTCAGCTCATTCAGATTGGCATTGGTTAGGTCGTCTTCATAGTCCTCAGGATATATGGCCTGGGATGGGAGATCTTTCCTGATCTGCCCTTCACCTCTCATTAAGCCTCCTCAGTGAATACTTCACAAGTCTTCTAAAGCACTGGATGTGCCAGCCGTTCCATGTCCCCAGTCCTGGGATACTCATCCATTGTCTCTCTTCCCTCCAGAACACCTTCCTCCTGGGCTGGGTTAGGTACCTCCTGGGTGAATGTGGGTGAGCTGATGGGGAATGCCCCTGCCCTATGACATCTGGGTCAGGCCCTGAAATAGATACCTTGGGGAGTGCTGTGTGTCTTCCCCATCTTGATCGATGTCTCTGTTTTGTAGCCGTGTTGTTCGCAAATCCATCGCCCGTGTACTCACCGTCATTAACCAGACTCAGAAAGAGAACCTCAGGAAATTCTATAAGGTTAGTGGCTAAGGGACAGTGGTGCTTGGCTAGAGGAGCAGTATGGCAAGCTTCTGCTGGGGTGCTTGGGACTGCGCTTTCTAGAGACTTCTTAGCTTGTGGATGTGTTCGCCTTCTTACTAGCATGTGGCATGCAGACTGCATTTCCTTGGGGCTGCAGTTGTCAAGAAATCAAAGATGTGGGAGTCTGGCTGGAGATGGGTTTTGAATAAAACCTCACGAGCTGAGTTTGGGCAGTCTTGTTTAAATGTTTTAATGGTCTCGCTAGCACTGTCAGTCACTGCCAAGCATCTGGTATCCTCATTTTTCAAATGATGACCTCAACGCTTAGAGAGGTTAAGTTGCCCAGCGCCACCTACAGTAAATGGATTGGACCTAGGTTCCAAACCATGTCTTGGTAAGGGTGGATTGAGTGCTTCCTGGAGATTTTCCACAGGTGCCTGCCCCTCACTCAGCCTAGAATTTTTATAATCATTTTTTGCTTGTGCCTAAAACTAGTGTTGTCAGGGTTCAAGCTATGAAGTGGAACCAGTAGGAGATTTTATATACTGTGTATGCACACATTTGGTTTATTACAAGGAAATGGCTTGTTTGATGGTGGGGTACACACTTGTTGGGAAGAGAGGATCTGTGAGCAACCTGGAGCTCAAGGTTTGGTTGAAGCTGCTGCCCTCAGGTGGATTTCTTGGGGGAAGCCACAGCCCTGCCTTTAAGGCCTTTCAACTGTGATCAGGCCCACCCAGGTTACTCTGGATAATCTCTTAATTAAAGCTGACTGATTAGGGGCTTTGATAGCATCTGCAGAATGGCTTCATATCAATACCCAAATTAGTGTTTGAATGACTGGAGGGTTTGACACATCAAAAAAGTCATCACAGTGTGCCGGGGCTGGCTGCCCAGGGGACAGCAGCATGTTGGGGGAGGGTTGCTGCCACCCCCGGACGTGTGTGCATTGTTTGGGGGAACGTATTCTGAGAATTGGGTCTGGAGCTTTCATCAGCCTCTGAGGGGACCATGTAGAGTTGTGGCCTGGAAAAATTGCCTTCATGACCATCCAGTGAGTACACTCCCCCAAACAGCCAGGCAGGACTCCTGGAGATAGAGGTAAGGTCTCTATGAGAGACGTTGATGTTCGATACAGTAACCTCTGGCCATGCGTGCCTATTAAGTGCTTATGTGGCCACAGTGACTGAAGGATGTAAACAGTGTGTGGCTAGTGGCCACTCTTGGACAGCAGAGCTCTAAGGTGCTTGGTAAATTGGAAACAGATGAAGCCCTGACCTGTACCAACTGATATGAGGGATGTGGGTGGACAGACATTCATGCTTCCAGGTCCCCCCACAGAGCTTGCCCTCGTCTCCTGCTTAGCTTTTTCCCTGCAGTTCTCTGCACTGAGGCTGTTCATGACCTGAACCCCGCTTAGCTCACATACGCCTGCCATGTGCCTACCCCTCCAGGCTGTTGGCAGCTCCCAGCCTGAGCTGTCACTTTTCAGGGCTTTTGTGCCCACTCTGGTTTCTCTTGCAGTTGACGTGCCCGTTGCTTTCAAGGCTGTTGTCAGTCATTTAGGTGAAACCTTCCTTAATCTCTTTCCTCCTCCACAGTGATGCACCACTTGTTTTCCATTTTCCACTGTGCTGGGAGCTCCTTGAGCAGGGAGCAGGTCTCATTTGTAGCTAAACCAGCACCCAGCACAGGGCCTCAAAATGAAGAGGCCCCAGGGGACCTTTGCAGAACAAAGGGGACCATGAGAGCTGCCTTAGCCTAGACTCCTCACTGAGGAGGAAGTGGGTTGGGAACGAGTGGGAGCAGAGATGGAGAGCCAATGCCCTGAGAAAGGTCTAGGAACAGGAGCCAAGTCAGGAAGAGGGGCTTGGCCCCTCATAGCAGGATGGTCTCGGCCGAGCCAGGTCTTCCCTCTGAGATGCATGTGTTCGGTGGGAATGTCACCACAGGTACCTGGCAGGTCCTTCAGATAAATTGAGCACCAGCTTAAGCTGCACATCTCACCCTCCCGTACACACACACATAATTTAAGCGAAGATAACAGGAAATGCCCCCAGGACTCGGTGGGTACCAGACTTCCCTTGCTGGGTTGGGGTGTGACGTTGACTCCACTGCTGGCAATCTGGTGGAAAGAGCACCAAGTAGGGACTGGGTTGACTTGGGTGTGCACCCCAAGTTCCACTACAGCTTCACTGAGATTTGGGCAAAATTACTTCCTAGCCCAGCAAATCAATATACTTAAGGAAAATGAGGATAGTCCTTCCCAGCCTTGAACTTGGGGGAATTAAAGAGCTAGGAAGCAAAGTATGGCCTGGCAACACTTCAGTCTCCAGTCCCCTCCTGGGCTGGGTGTCATACAGCTCCTCACGCTTGCATCTCCCCAGGCACATCCCAGCGTCTCAGTTCCGACTCTGTGGCTTCCTTAGCTACCGCAATAGCTCCCAAACCCTGGTCCTCATGTTCCCCCGCTCCCCCTCACCCAGGGCAAGAAGTACAAGCCCCTGGATCTGCGGCCCAAGAAAACGCGTGCCATGCGCCGCCGGCTCAACAAACACGAAGAGAACCTGAAGACCAAGAAGCAGCAGCGGAAGGAGCGGCTGTACCCACTCCGGAAGTACGCGGTCAAGGCCTGAGCATCCAGGTGTCAATAAAACAAACAAACTGGCTGGTGTTGCTTTGTGTTTATAGGGGTTTCTACTAAGTGCCGGAGAGATGGGCTGGTGCGGCCCTGGTTATGGTTACCGGGTGTCTGATGGATCCCAGCAGGCTGGCCTGCTGCTGCTGTTGGCCCTGGTGGGGGGCCATGGCAGCCCTGGCCACAGGGGCCTGTTGGGCACTCTCTTATGGTTGCTTTGGTCCTGTGCCCCCTGGGCAGGGAGAAGCAGGGATGGAAGGTCTTCAGAGCCATAGGTAGTGATGTTCTGTTTGAGCAGCTCTGGGTGATTTGCAGTGAACTTGGAATTTTGCCTAAGCAGCTCCAGACACTAAGAGTTTCCCATCTGGGGTAAAGGCACAGGCGTGGGCCACATCCAGGACTCCCTGCCAAAAGCATGGTATGGGGCTCTGTGGGTGCGGGCCTCCCCTAGCAGGCCTTCCTCTGCACCCTTGTTTGCTGTAGCCACAGACCTTACCTTCAGGGTCTCAATGCTCTTTCCTGTATTGTAGTCCCAGACTTTGACCTGGAAATCTCAACAAGCTGGGGGGTAGGGAAGTCTCATAGGCAAGTCTGGCATCTTTGACAAAATCACACTGGGGTGAGTCTTAGCCAACATGTTAACTTCTTGATCTGGGTTTTGTTGTCTGTGAGGTGTGTTTAACAAGGGCTGCGTAATAGCTGATGCAGAAATTCAGTGCAATACTTTCCTTTCCCCTGAAGCTGAGTCATAGAAATGTCGGTGCCACTAACATTTGGGCCAGTGCAGACCTTAGTGCCAGGCATTCGGTAAGGAAGTAGTTGGCACCTGGGTCCTGCCCTTGGTAGCCTCCTATTTAGGGCAGATAGGGATGTGGACATTTCTGGACATGGGGTGCTGAGGGCTCCGGTAGGGAGGATGTGGGGTAGGAGTTCACAGGAAGGAAGGCCTGATGGGGTGGGGTTACCATGTGGGAGTAGCCAGTGCTGGCCACCTGCAGCCCATCAGGGGAGAAAGCTCTGCTCTTCACCCAGGTGATGTGGCCCTTAAGCTGGACAGGCAGGCTTCCGGTTGAGGGCTTCCAGATGTGGATAGTCTTGTCCCAGGAGCCGGACACCTGGAAAGCAGACAGCTCTAAGCATAGAGGTTTGGGGCCTGCATACTCTGCCCCCAAAATGGCCTCAAAGAGTGACCCTCAAAGAGTTGTAGTCAGCAAGGGGCCACCCTGGAACCTAGGCAACCCAGCCCACCAATAGGCCAGATGCTGAGTAGCACAGGCAGCTGACGTTGCCACTGTGGCCCTCCAGCTCCTGGTGGAAGATCACTGGAGTCCCTGCCCGAAGGTCCCACATGCGGATGGTGGAATTCCAAGAGCCTGTGGCCTGCAGACAGCCACCATAAGCATGGTGTCTCCCGGTTCCTCGACTGGCTAGGCTCACAGAAAGCAGGCACCATCTCACCAAGCCCTGCTGAATCCCCATCTTACAGAGGAGGGGACAGGCTCAGAAGAGCTAAGTCACTGTCAAGGTGTAGAATTCTAACCACTTGTTAGGCCACTGAGGTGGGGCCCGGGCAGAGGTGTGGCTCACCAAGCAGTCTGAGCTGGGTGCGAAGTCACTGCTTGGGACAGTCTCGGTGTCCCACCAAGTGGCGCAGCACCTGGCCTGACTGGAAGAAAGAGCGCAGAGGCTGCGTGCCAGGTTCTCTGCCTCAAGTGAGTCAGACCCAGGCCCTCCTTGTGGGGCTGCCTGGGTAGTGTGATGCAGCATAGGGGTTAGGGGAGGCTTCCCGGGCCTTGGCAAGAGAGGAGGGCAGTACAGGCAGGGGGAATCTCATGGCAGAGGTCTTGAGGCATGAGGGTAGGGAGAGGGGAACTGGGGAGGTAGCTGCAGCCAGATGCAAGGGAATGGGATGCCAGGGGTGGGGAAGACGAACAACCTTTCCCAGTTGGAAAGTGTGGCCACTGTGGACGGTGTGCATCCCTGGATCCCAGGCCTCACTGGCTGCCCCTCCACCTACCTGCACCTCCCAGAGCATCACCCTCTTGTCCCAGCCGCCTGATGCCAGTTGCTTTGAGTCAGGGCTGAAGCTGATGGTCTCCACACTTCGCTGGTGACCGGCAGGCACCGGCCAGGGGGCGAGGCAGGGGCGAGGTGGCACAGGACACAGCAGGGTCCGAAAGGGAAACCAGGCCTGGCTGCTTGGCTCCCAGTCCCACCCAGCCCACTCACCCTGTAGGACCTGCAGACACTTGGCTTCTGCTACATTCCACAGGCGGATGGTGCAGTCACAGGAGGTGCTGGCAAAGAGGCAGCCATCGGGGGAGAAGCGGCAGAACCTCACGGGGGCCTGGGTGGGCGGCCGTGGTCAAGGAACGGGGCACTGCGCTCCACCTCTGGCCCTTGCAGTCCAACCCCTGCTAATTTCTTCAGTCTCGTTGCCTACCGCCTCTCTCCTCACTTCTAACCCTCACCCTCCAGCCACCTGGAAAATTCCTGGGCTTCCATGCCTTGGTCTGGAATGCCCAACTCAGTTTGCCTATTTGGAAGATCAATACCCAAATCAAATGGCAGACACCTCCCAGAAACTCCTTGACAGCCCGGCGTAGGTTCATTACCCTCTTAGAGCTCCCCAGCCCCTTGACTTTCCCTATTACAACATGAATCAATCTGCCCTATAATTACCAGATTTGTTTTTTCTTGTCTTAATAATCATAAGTTACGTCTACTGAGTTCTTACTGGGTGCCAGGTACTTTGCTTGCATTATCTCATCCTATAGGGTAGCAACTATTATCCCCATTCTGAAGAGGAAATAGGTGCAGAGAAGGTGACATGACTTGAGTTCAATCACAGTCAAAAAAGTGGGTAAACATAGATGGACATTATGCTAAGTGAAATCAGTCACCAAAAGAAATAGTGTGTGATTCCACTTATACCAGGTATTGTACTTAGTCAAAATGGAGACAGAAGGCAGGACAGTGATTGTCAGGGGCTGGGAAAAGGGAGGAATGGGGAGTTTAATGGGTATAGTTTCAGTTTTGCAAGATACGAAGAGACTTCTGGAAGCTAGATGCACAACAGTGTGAATGTACTGAACTGTACACTTTAAAATGGTTAATAGGGTATTATGTAGATTTTTTAAGTGGTAGGATTTGAGTCCAGGTCTGTTAGAGTCAGAGACTCAGGACCCCAGGGGCCAGGTCCTGTCTCCTTGCCCTCCTGCCCCTGCCCTGCCTGGGCTGTGTTGCATGGATGCTCAGCTCAGATATCAGAGGTCATTGTGGTAGGCTCTGTAGAAAGCCACAACAGGGCCATAGGCCTCAGTCTCCTCATCTGGGGTGAAGAGCCCCACATGTGTCTCCACAGCAGCCGCCCACTCTGGGTCTCCCATCCATATACACAGCCATCCTCGGAGGCTGTGAGCAGCTTCTGGCCATCGGGAGAGAAGGCAGAAGAGTTGACCTGCAAGGAGAGCACAAAAGTCCTATCCTGGGGCAAGAAACACCTTTCTGCTCATCCCTAACCCCAGACTCCTGGGCCAGCCATAAATACTGCCCCAGGAGCCTGGGGTTGGAGCTTGGACTTCAGGCCTCTCTCAACAACCAGAACTCAGGAACCACCCTGCAGGGGAGCCGAGAGCTTGGAGCCCTCTCTGCTGTCCTGTAAGACCAGAGCCTGGGGCTTCCTTCCCTGGTGGCACAGTGGTTAAGAATCCGCCTGCCAATGCAGGGCACATGGGTTCGAACCCTGGTCTGGGAAGATCTCACATGCCACAGAGCAACTAAGACCGTGCGCCACAACTACTGAGCCTGCACTCTAGAGCCCGTGAGCCATAACTACTGAGCCCGCGTTCCACAGCTACTGAAGCCTGCATGCCTAGAGCCCGTGCTCCTCAACAAGAGAAGCCACCGCAATGAGAAGCCTGCACATCACAACAAAGAGTAGCACCCGCTGGACGCAACTAAAGAAAACCCGTGCGCAACAACGAAGACTGAACACGGCCAAAAATTAAAAAAAAAGACCAGAACCTGAAGCTCAGAGCGAGCCCTCACTGAAGCCAGAGGCTGGAGCCTTCTGTAGAAGCCAAGAGCCCATTCTAGAGCTGAAGCCCAGAACTAGTTAAAAATCTACTCTAAGCCCCGAGTTCCCTCTTAAGCCGGAGTCCAAAGAGCATTGGAATCAGCCAGGAGTTTGAGCCCCCTGTGGAACCAGTGCTTAGAATTCTAGAGCCCATTCCGCAACTGGAGCCCAGAGAACACTCGGGCTCCCACTACACAGAACCAGAAACCACTCTAAAGCCAAGAAGCCTAAGATCTGGGCAGAGATCTACAGGGCCTCACCTCCCCGCGGTGCTGGCCGAAGAATTTCACTCTCTCCACGGCCAGCGTCCCTGGGGCCCTGCTGTTCATGGGGCCGTGGCCGCCCGCCCCGGCGGCCTGCCGGCCCTACTTAGGACAAGGTGGAGGGGAAGGGGGAAACTGTGTATAAGCGGTCTCCATGGCAATCGGGGCGGGGCGACCAGCCGCTGTGGGGTCTCTGGGAAACCATGAGTGGAGAGAGCCTGGGAGAGACTGTTGTCAGCCCGGGTGAGGTGGGGCAGCAGCACGCTGGACCGCGGATGGCTCCAAGAAGGGACTTCCCTGCCAGTCGACGGCTGCCAGTCGGACCTTGGGCAGCTCTAGCCGCGGGGCGGAGTGTGGCGCACGGTGGCCGCTAGAGGGCACGCCAGCCCCACACAACCGCGCCTGCCTCTGCAGCTGCACCGAACTGGTGCACAGTTTGAGACAATCGATCGTTTCCCCATCTGCACAAAGGGGAGGCTCATCCTTGCCCCCCAGGGTTCCAGGCATGACACAAGGTAGGTGCCCATGAGGGCCCAGTCGGGATCCAAGACCCCTTTCCTCCAGGAGTGGACAGTACTGAGGCTGAAGATCTCCCATGGAGAGGGCTGGAAACGATATTCATATCAGCCCTCCAGGATGTGGAGAGCCAGAGGCAGTATGCAAAGCACAGGACATTAAAAAGTGGGGTCACTGTTAACATTCCTGGCAGCACAGAGTGTGCCATTGGAGCACACGGAGGGAGGCCTCAGGAGCTGTCAAGATCCTTGTTGGATAGTTCAGCTGAAACCCAGAAAGAACAGGACTTGGTTTCAATGTCCATTTTTCAGATGAGGAAACTGAGGCTCCAGGAGGTCGGGGGACTTGCTCAAGCTCACTCAGCCAATAGGAAAAGAATTGGGACCTCATCCCATGTCTGTCTGACCCTGAGGCCTATATCAGAACCACCTGCTGTGAATTCCAGGGGCCTCACAGCACATGAAGTCTGGGAAACAGGCCCTGAGGGGGCAGATTTGGCCCAGTCATCCAGCACCTCCGTGGCAGAGCTGGGGCCAGAATGCAGTCCCCTCCCCACAGTTGGACAGGAGTAGGACTGAGGAACCCCACTCCTCGGCTTGCCAGTGGATTCAGGCTCCCTGGGGATGGGGCTGGGACAGCTGGGCTTTGGGAGCTTCAAACTCAGGTGTTCCCAGTGGTGATTCACACCCCCTCCTCCCAGACCTCTTTGCCAGAAATGCTTCTCACGGAGATCTGCCGTTCTCCTGCTCTATTTTAGGTCCTAGACAGGCGGGCGAGGGGGCGACAATGGCGGCTTTGAGGCTGCCCCACCCCCATTCTAACTCCCAAAGGGCCCAGGTCACTGAATTGGCTCCCCAGGGACCCATCTGGGCCTATGCGGCCACCCATCCCCCCAGCTCGAGGCATGGGTCCTGAACACGTCTCCCCCATAGCTGGCTCCCCAGGCCCTCTCCCCCTTCTGTCTGCTTAGGCGCCCTGCAGCCCATGCCCCAGCCACCTAGCTGCTCCTGCTTTACCTGAAGTGCCCAGAACCGCCTTCCCCAGTGCAGCCTATCACTCCCAGAGTCCCCTGGATAGACCTTGTCCACCAGGCCCAGCGACCACTCAGCCTGTAGCAGTGTAGCTGGGGTTAAAATGTTTCTGCTTGACCCAGGAGTCTGTGGTTGGAATCACCCACCATGAATTCCAGAGCCTTCAGAGACCAAAACATCATGTCCACCTCTCCTGCTTCATTCTGCCCCTGTCCCCTGCCCCATTTTACTCCCTGAACTTATCCACATGGGCTCTTTCTTCTATCTCTCCATCTTCACTCCCACCCTGGGCCTGTGCACACAGTGTTTCCCACCCTCTTGGCCTGACACTTACTTTGGGATCTAGCTCCAGTATCACTTCCCCTGGATTGGCCTTCCCTTGCCCAGCTCCCAGACTAAGTCAGAGCTCCTTCCCCAGAGATAGGGCGTTAAAGCCACAGTTCTGGGTTAAACCCAGGTTCTGCCAACTACTAGCTCTGCAACCTTGGGCAAGCTAACTGATCATTCAGTGCCTTGGTTTCCTAATCTCTAAAATGGGAGTGCTGACAGTGGTTGCCTTGTCAAGAGTTGGTGAGATGGTGCCTCTTAATGGTGTGCAGTAAGTGCTCAGAGAATGGCGGGGGGTGGGGTGGTTGGTGACATCCATCTTTGTCACTTTAGGTTAAAATACTTCAAGCTAAAGCTCTGGATGCCCTTTGTCAGGCTCCAAATGCCCTAAGCCATCACCCAAAGGGCCCACAGCGCAGATACACCTCATGATGTAGAGAGGACCTTGTAATCAGGAGCTGTCTGGCTTCATGCCCAGCAGGGGCAGAAGGTATGGCCAACCCTGGGTTTGGGCAGGGGCTGAACCTGCAGGATGTGTACCATTAAGCAAGGGGAAGGAGTGGGGATGGGTGGGTCACAGTTATGGTGGCAGCAGAAGTATTTCACTGGCTCAGGCTCTGCCCGTGGGATGGAGTCACTCAGTTTCTGGCCACTCCAAGAGAGGTTTGGGGGGATATTTTCCACCCTTGACTATCTCTTCATTCTCAGGGAGCCTGCCATATTCTCTCCTCCCTCAGCCCGGACTGCCTGGGGAGGGGGCTCTGTGCTGAACTTGCCCACTCACTCCATCCCCTGAAGGTAACCCACGGTCCTGGGACCAGCTTCGCCTCTCTTCATTTCCTCAAAGTATCTTCCTTCCCAGACCCCTTGGTTCCCTCTGAAACTGCTATAGGTACACAGCCATTTTAAAGAGAAAACTAGAGATTCAGAAAGGAAAATGACTTGCTCAAGGTCACACAGTTGGAGAGTAGTAGAGCTGAGATTTAAACCCATGTCCAATAACTCGTAAGCCCCCAGCTCATTCGTTGCACCAGACACTCTTTCAGTAAAGCTTGGGGAGGTTGGGGTATGAGCCTCTGCCCCACCCCCAACACACAGCCCTCACCCCTGTGAATGTGATCTCACTACCCTGCAGGATAGCCTATCCCATCAGACTGTTGGAAAGTCCTGGGTGAGTCAGAATCTACCTTACGCTAACACAGTAGAAGATGGGCCCAGGCTGCGTCTGCAATTCCACTCCCAGGGACACATTCAGCACTGTTTGTAGTTCCAGAAGGCTGGAAAGAACCTGAATAGTCAAAGACTGTAGAAATAAATGGTTGTACAGTCAAACAATGAAAGCTACATAAGTCAGGGAAATGAACAAACTACAGCTCTGCATATCAACATGCAAACATCTGACAAAATGTTCAGCAAAAGGGACTTCCCGGCGGTCCAGTGGTTAAGACTCCAAGCTTGCACTGTGGGGGGCACATGCTCCATCCCTGGTCGGGGAACTAAGATCCCACATCCCACATGCCATGAAGCGCAACCAAAAAAAAAATGTTCAGCAAAAAAGCAACATAGCAGAAGACACTATAAGTATGATCCCCCTCATAGAAAAATCAAGAGGTGCCGCAGGCAACCTTCCGTTTCTCAGGTATACATGCATGTGTACTGAAACTAGGAAGAAAAGCAAGAATGAGTAACTCCTAAACCTCCAGAGGGGTTAACTGTGGGGAGAGGAAGGAAGGGGATTCAGGGGGCCTTGAAGAGTACTTGCTCCTGGTGATATTTGCGCTTGAAGCTGGGCAGTGGGCACCCAGGTGTTTGTTGGATTATTCTTTAATAACTGGCCTGCCTGTTTGGCCCCTGCCCACCTCTCCTGCCCTCTTCTGGCTTCCTCACCTTCTCCCCCATTCTTTGTCCCCATCACCCCCAGGCCTGAGCAGTTTGGTGGATTACGTGGTGCCAGGGCTAGGATGCGGTTTCCAACAGTGCCCCAGGAAGCAGAGAAGACTTTTGTCGCAAGAAAGCAGAGAGGAGAGAGAGGTGGAGAGTCAGATGCCCTGCTTCCTGTCAGCTTTCCAGCTCCCAGCTCCAGTCCCCGAGGCTGCCGTCCTGAAACACACCTGTTTTCTTAGAGTCAATTCCTTATTTTGCTGAGTAAGCTCCAGTGGTTTAGGTTATTTGCCACCCCAAGGGCTTTGATCAAAACAGCTCTGTAATTTCCACAGCTGGTCCCCTAATGTTTTGCCAGGGGCATCTTTTCTGGGACTCCCCTGCACGCAGGGATCATCTAAGGGTGATCAACACCCTTGAGTCTCGGTCCTTTCCGCACAACCTTGACCACCCTTATTGGAATGCACTGTATTTGTCATTGTCCCTCCTAAAGTATGAAGACCAGAACTGGAAACATGCTCTTTGGAGGGACTGACAAGTGCCAAGTTGAAAGGGACTGTCATCTCCAGTTTTCTCCAACTCTAGTAACGCAGCCTGCATTACCAGAGTCATTTGTGTTTTCAACAGCTACATTATTCTGGTGACTCACTGAATTTGCGGTGGGAGCTTTTTCCCATGAACTACTGTACAGTCAACTCTCCCTCCCTGATCTGGTACTTGCACAATGGATTCTTCGGAAACACGAAAGACCTTACATTACGCTGGTTAAATGTCATCTCTTTGGATCCCATCCAGCAGTCTAGTCTTGAAAGCATTGTAAGTCTGGCTGCCATTGCACAAAGCATTAATTCTGGCGCTGTGGCAGCTGCAAATTTTATGAGTAGGCCTTCTGTATTCTAAATCCAAATTGCGAACATGATGATCAACGGGACGAGGATAAGGGCAGAGCCCTGTGGTCTGTCACCGGAGATTCTCACTTTTTTTGCACCCATCCACACCCATCACTAATGGTCAGGTTAGGGGAGGACCCCTTGCCTTAGAGGTAGATTTGAGTTGAGAGGAGAGCTATGAGCTCCTGCCTCAAGCAGGGGTCTCTGGTTGTAAATGACAGAAACCATCGATGGCCAAAAGGGACCATAGGGGAAGGGGCTGGGTGAAGGGGGAGAAATCAAAGATGGGAAGGACTGTAACACTGCCAGCCAGGGAAGGACAGGAGACAGGGCAGAGAATCCAGGGTGAAGCCTGGGCACTTCCGGATCTTTGGAGATCATATGATTGGCCCAGCGGGAGTCATGTGCCCACTCCTCAGCCAGGGTAGAGCATCCTGATTGCCCGTCCCAATGAGATCTGGACTTCCACCCCCACCTCCACCCTCCCCTGTTAATCAGTGGGGGTCTCTAGGTCAGTTTAAAATCAGCTGTGCACCTGTGGGCTCAGGGACCAGACCTGTATTCAAATCTGACCGCATCACCTACCAGCCATGACCTAGGGCAAGTTACCTAACTGTTCGGTGCTTCCTTTTCCTCATGTTTACAATGAGGATAATTAATACTCATCTTGTAAGGTTTGCTTTGAGGATTGAGTTAATACATGCAAAGTGCTTGGAATAGTATCCTGCATGTAGTAAGTGCTCTGGGTTGGTCAGCTGTTACTAAAGCATTATTACATTGTGAGTCCACATTTTCCCACTGTAGCCCCAAAGATACATAGACGAACTGCCAGGTCTTACAGAAACCCAGGTATTAATATATCTGGATTGGGTGCAGTTGCCCTGTTATTAAAGCAGGGAGGCAAGAGCAATTTGATTTAATTCCCAGTGACCCTTGTTGGCATTTCTGGTCACCACTTCCTTTTCTGAGCGCTCTCAAATCATTACCGAATGATCTGTCCAGAATTTCTTGGCAGTTAATAACGGGCTAGCTGGTCCATGACAGGGGGACTCGCCCTTTCTAAAAAAGTGGGATGCTGCTGCTTTCTTCGCTCCTGGCTTCTGGCCTCTGTAGTGTCAGACACACCTTCCACTCGGGCTCTCTTGGGGTACAATTTGCTAGATGTAGAGACTTGGTCTTATTTACCTTGTTATATTTTTAGTGTGTTTTTTTCTAAGACTTTTTTCCTGTTTGGGTAGCAAAGTGACCCAGGTGCCAGAAGGAACCTGAGATGCTCAGGGGGCCTGACCACCACCCCCTGTCGCCAGCGTGGGCTGTGGCCCCATGCCTGTGCTCCAAGCTCTTGTGTTCAGCAACTCTTGCCCACAGGCCCCCTGGGCCTCTCCCATGTTCCAGTGACTCTTAACAGAGAAGGAGAAACCTCTGAGGCCCTGGGACGAGCACCGTGGAGTTCTTGGACACACCACCCTCCTGATGCCAGGCCCAGATGAAGACGGAACATGGTGGGCCAGGTGGATGGCTGGGCAGGGCCTCTGTGACAGGCCCATGCAGCTTGTGGAGTCTGGGCCACAGCCCAGCCAGAGAGGACTTTTATGCTATTTCATTTCTTTAATTTTTTCTAATTCTTAAAACATCCTGGACACAACAGTGTTAAAGACTAGCCTGAGGACAG